TTTAATTGTGTAACCGATGATAATACCGTTGCTTTCCAGAGGTTCTTGTACATCAATTATACATTATACAAGATAAATTTTGTTTTTTTTATGAAATCACATCATGCACGTTTGAATGAAATTGGTATGCATGGCCCATCAGACTCACCTGAATTTCAAATAAAAGGGAACAATTTAACTTTTGATGATATACTGTGTAAAATTGTGACTACTAGAACTAATTCCTTGCTTGAGCCTATGATTAGATGTAACACAGGACACCAGTAACCAACATCTTGAAATCGTCAGGATACAGATCATGTGAATCTCATGTTCATATTTTTTTTCCTTCAAATTTAGTTTTGAGCTTCTAGGTCGAGAGAGTTGTCCCACCGTGTCACAGCCTGTAGATGTGGTGTGTGTTGAAGGTGACTTTGAGGTGTACTACACTGATATAGACTTAGTGATGGAGTTCAATGCGACTAGTTTACAGCCATATACTGAGTATGATTGGAAAGTGATTGTATACAACGTGGCAGGTTTTGCTGAATCTTCCATCACTACCGGTCAGACTTATGCAAGATGTGAGTATATACATTATTGTCATCTTCAGAATTACGATGGGTTCTGGTGGAAAAGAGAATGTCAATGTACATGTATGAAGGGATAAGCCATCAATTGTAATTAATTAAAAACTAAATTTCTTGATTTTTTTGTGGGAAATAATTCCCATAGTGGTGTTAGGCAATAGAACATCACTGGATAAGAATATATACCACATTTCAGACCAAAATATTGTAAAGTACATTGTTGTCAATTTGCATTTAAAATTGGTGTTAATCAATTCTGCAATTATTTTATTCAAGTTTAGTGGCCACTGGTTATAATTATACACAATAAATATAAATGTACACTGAATGCAGAAACAACAAATTTCTTGCCTCATTACATAGTTAAGTTCAATAAAAATGGACCGGTTTAAGATCCAGAAAGTGGTTGTTTATTTGTGAGAATTATGATTATCATAATAAACAGATCTGAAATCATATTCAGAAGATGCAGATATAATGCAAAACACTGATGATTTCACTTCAGTGTCTCCACAATAACAACAACAACAGTGTCCTTTGACCTACTTTCTACATATCGTTTTCCAGTGCCTGATTACGTGCGACAACCGAGTATAGTGTCTAATAGTAGCATAATCATTGTGGATTGGAGCCAGTCTTTTAGACTGAATGGTAAATTGGTGGAGTATACTTTAACTGAAAATGCTGCCAAAGTGTACAGTGGTCATGCTACTAAAGTGGATAGACCCAACAGTCAATCAGGTAAGAGCAGGCTAAGCTTGTACATAAAATATGGTTAAAAAAGAAATAATTTTGCAGTACAGAGACTAAAATACGTATGGTACACTGTGACACAAGTGATGAACAATTGATTAGACTGTGAAGTAAAAAAAAAACACTCATGTTTTGTTATTCTTGTTTAAATAACGTGATCAATAGAAGGCGACATGCTTGCATCTTATTAGGAATTATCTGACAGATGATCGCATACTGGTATCTACAGTATTGGTACAGTGCTAGGTATCAAATGAAAAACTATTTGTACGTGCAACTAGTTTGTTACTGCCCTCAGCCAGATATGAATCACCTATAGTACTGTGGGTTCTTGATTTTTCAATGATTATGCATTTTCTAAATCCCAACATAAAGTTTGGATATGCTTTAAAAGATTTGAGTTTGTTTAACATGGTTAGTCATATAATCACTGTATTTTTTTTCAGCATATGAATTTGTTGTGTCAGTGAGAACCACACATGGAGAGGCGTCGTCTCCACTTATACTGTATGAACCATCAACATTTGGTAAGTATACTGTGTAATGGATGTACATAGTGTAATGTGTTGTTGATAACTTGTCGATGTCATCGGCATTTAACACCCATTGCTACATCAAATACTGGGATATGAAACATGTTAGCAGCGTTATTGAAGATTTACAAGTTTCTAGGTTTTCTGATAAAGCCCTATAAAACTCATTGCAATATGGACAATCCACCATTCTGATCTCTGGTTCCAACTGAGCAGTATGTCTGAAGAATGATATGCAGTCTATCTGTCCTTGATAAGTCACTTTTTTTTGCTTGGACTTAGCAAGAGGTCACTGTGATTATCCAGTAAATATTAATTCATTTACAGTATTCTGATTTAAATTTTGTATTTATTCATTGCTTTGTGTATTAAAGGTGGTGGTAGTGGCGGTGATGGCGGCACATATGAAGCACAGTCAGATGTTCTATGGTACCAGTCTGTCTGGTTTATTGCACTTATTGTGCTCTTGGTGTTATTGTTATTATTTGTTATCATTGCCGTCTTCTTGCATAAAAGTGGTCCAAAGCAACCGTATGAACGACAGAGACCACCTCTACCTCCAAGACAGAAAAGAGGAAACTATTTATTTAATGCATGTGGATATGCACCCAGTGAAAGTGTTATGGTATGTATAGCTTGGTTGCTATAGTAATAAGAATGTTAGCATGTGTTGCCATAGTAATACATGCCTACCTTTCCCGGCTTAAAATACTTATCCTTGTATTGAATAACTATTCAATTTCCAATGCACTCAGCAGCCCGGCACATGTGTAATTTGGCTTTCATTTCCCATTTTCTTTCCACTGTACTCTAGGATCCAATACCACAGGCACCCAGTCATGTCACGAGTCATCCAAGTGTTACACACATCAGCCACAAATCAGCTGGTCCTAATAATGTGTACATACCGACAGTACTCACAATGCCCGTACATGGCAGTACAATGCATTTAATTGACGATAAAGCGTCTTTAAAATACAAAGAAGAAGAAGATGGCATTTGGGATCATCATATACCGTTAACAGAGAACGGCATTGCTAGTTTAGCGGTGAGTTTGTTTTATCTGTTAATAGTCAGCAAGCTATCAGTTTGTATTCCCATCCCATGTGATTATGTACTTCCTCAAGAGTTGACAATTTTGTTTAAAAATATCTTTTAAACTAAACATTTCTCTTTACCTTGACATCAACAAATGTTTTCACTGTGGAGATAAAACTAACTACACATCATGATGATGTCACTAACCACACTTTCTGATGATGTCACTAACCACACTTTCTGATGATGTCACTAACTACACATCATGATGACATGATAAACTTTATGTCACTTTATAGAGTGGAGTAGAACAAGATTTATTTAACAACTCTTTCTCATTTTTTTTTAAATTTTCTTTGCAGTATGAAATGGATGATGACGATGACACAATGACCCATGAAAGTCGTCCTTACAGCATTACAAAAGAACAGACTATGTTTACAGATACTCATCTCTAGTGCTTCTCAAAACAAAACAAAAATATCACCTTGAAAATTTTTACTTTTTTGTATGTCTTGATTATTTCATAATACCGTAGATCATCTTTTGAGGGGTTCCTCTGTATTTCCCGCCTGATTAAATGGGAATTTGAGTACCAAGAAATGCCTGCCAAGTTCAGATGCTTTGTGAAAGTCTCACATTGAATCAGTAATTAAATGTTACATCAGAAAATCATGTCACTGACACCTGTATTTATCCAAAGTAATTTGTAATAATAATGAAATATGGAATCCAGATTGATTTAATCTTTTTTTGTAATTCTGTGAAAATTGCATTATTTGGAAACTTTCATTTGCATCAATTCAAAACTAACTTTTTATTGTAACAAAATGTAAACTAAAATGCAATTTTTATACAGTATGTAAATGACTTTCTATATTTGGTATGCATATTGACTGATATGTAAATAGATTTCCATATTTGGCATATCTATTGATTGGAAAGAGGTATTTTCTATGCAGTATTTTACAAATTGTATATTTATCTCAGTCTATATTATAAGATTTTTATACTTCCAGGATGAGTGGAATTATTAATGTATGTGTGGGTGGATTTCAGTGTACCTACTTGATAGGTTTGTTTGTATATTACGAGCATTGAGATATTCTAACCATGTTTGTCATTTTGGTCTCCATTTTAACAAAAGATTATTTATTATAATAACATTTTTAGGGTACTATTTGTATATTTTTGCAGCTTTGTATACTCCTTTCTCCAAGGGAATTTTTATCAACGAATTGTTAATTCTTCCACTGTTTTGGAATTTTATTTGTTCTTTTCCTTTTAAAGATATACTTTTAGAAGTATGTGTGTGTGATGTGCAATGTGGGTTCAATAACCTGTACAACAAACAGAATGGTGTTAGTGCCAAAAAGAGAACGTTTTGTATGCATTCCTTGGTATAATATTATAAAATGTGTTATTTTGTTACACCTTCTGATTATGCAAACAATACAATAATTATTAGAAATGTGATTTAAAAACCCATCCCCGTGTATGAAACCTTACCATTGTATTTACCGGTAGTCATTGTGAGACTACCATGATTTCAGTAGGCTTTGTGCATGACGCATAAAGGTCAAAGGTCAGGGTCACACATCCTGGTTCTTCCAGGGGTATAAGTTATCAATGAGAAATTTCACATGGTGGCAATGAATAAGATACATTATTGGATATTTTTGTAGGGGTCATGCATGAGCAGAATGTGTTTGTTAATCCACTAATAATACCGTACACATAAAGTTTGGCGATAAGCTTAGGGGAAGTAAGATTATTAGATTATTATCATGGCTTACACATTAGAGATAATATTAGAGATCTACTTGTAATAGAGGAAATACAGTACATTGACACCATACCAGTCATCAACACCACACCCTTTCATATTTTGATACAGCTACCAACGCTTTCTCCTACTTACTTTGTTGTCATGACAACCTTGCTTTTGTGTTCATTACAATCAGGTGAAGTCAATGCTTTTTTCAGAATCGACCACTTCCGTGTTTTGTTATTTTAAATTTTGTTTGCATGCTATGGTGTGTTGTGTATGTTTCCATCGCAACAGATTTTTTATTTGCAGTTTTCTGATTTTCATGTGATGTAAGATTTTATTGATTGTTATTTATCCAAGATGATTTTTTTGTTTGTTCATAAAAATGAATAAAATTGCAATAAATTTTACAGTATAATCAGC